TGGCATATATTGCTCGGAAGCAAAAGGTTGGCTCCACCTCAAGGGCTCAAGAAGAGAGCTGTGCACTGCTTGATTGTATCTTCGGGGCTGGTGACTGCAGAAGGGTAGAGCATCATCAGATATACATATTCCGTAAATATTTTTTTGTTTAGGTATGTAAGTTCTAATGATAGCCGACCCCACTTAGTGAGAAAAGACTTTGTTGTTGTTGTTGTATGTAAGTTCTAATGAGAGTCTGCCGCAAGTAAATTTAAACCTGGGACGAGAACTTACCTGTATGACCTACGGTTCTTTCAGATTCATAGATTTCGTGGTCATTTCCTCCCTGCGGAAAAGAAAACTCACAAGTCTTTTAAGGCCCGAATAACAGAAATTTCATCGAAAAGAATAAATGTAAAACAGAAAACATGAACTGCTACTCATGAATTCATAGAGAAGGAAGTTGTACATAGAAGAGGGTTAAGCCATCAAATTATGGACAAACCTTGTAAGTTTTGTCACCAAAGAAATGGATCTCTTGAAAATCATCTAGGTATCTCAAGCAGTATGTCTTGTCCCAACCGTGCGGGAAAACCTGGTTCAAGCATTGTAAACCATTGGATTTCAATTTCAAAAGTCTAGTCACCTTTTTACTAGACTAGTTCAAGAATGAGGCAGGCAAAAACAAATAAATGGAATAATCATTAAACCATAAACGAATATTAAATCATTTACATCAAAGCTTATCTGTCCTCCAATGGAAAATGTCAGGTTGAGGTGACCAAACTTCTCACGAAGGACGGAAACCATTTTTGGGCGTATGTTCTGAACCTGCAAAGAATTACCATACTTTCAAGTTATATACAAGTGAAAAAGAAAATTTATATCAGTTATAAAAATATATACTCACAATTCAAATCTATGGTCAAGTGTCTAACCTTGTCATATCTTTCAAATTCATCCCTTTCTTCTTGGCTACAGTTTCTCCCAATTGGTGATACGTTCAGCATCCCACTTCGGAACTCAATAAATGTACCCCTACAGTTATAGTTAAAAATAAAAGTTTTAAGTTTACGTTCAACCGCTTAAATTTAACAAAGGCTTCCACTCCACTAACCTCTTTATCGGTATGTCCAAGTCAGCAATATAATGAAGCGTAAAGTTGATGAATTCCTGCACAAGTGCATGCCAATCATCTCAGATCAATCTCAAGAACAACATAATTAAGTTTCCAGGTGCCATGTGTATGTTGTGCTTGAAACTGCTTAAGATATCTTCCAAATAAGGAATTTGAGAGTCATAGCATACAACAGAGTATGGGTTTTACCTTGAGTTTGTCTTCGCCAAGGTATGTCTTCAAGCTCTACAGAATGAAAAACGCAAAATGCATCAGTTTGGAACTTTTATCACATCACGGAATATTTAAAAATATGCAGAAACAAAGAAAAAATAATGCAACTCTGTCACAATTCCTATAAAAAACAAATCATGGTTATTGGGCACCTACACTACACCCAGCCAAAGCCACTTCAGACTCGGGTTTAGTGTTCAAGAATTTCAAACTGTAATAGAGGACAATGGGTGAAACCTAAATACGGACCAGAAGAAATCTACAGCAGACAAGTACCTCACGATAAGATGAATTAACTACTTTCGTTAGCCACAAATAATTTCTTCGCAGAACAGAAGAGAATTTCTCTCAAAAGATCCAAAGAACAAGATTGTATCATGGAAATATTTATCTTTACGATCCATTTCTTCTTTTTCTTTTTTGTTGAGGAGAAGGTTTATATCTTTACGATATATACCATGCTCAAATTCAAGGTATTGGATCATTAGAATTTTAGCTTTGCTTATTGCTTTCAGCCATATATTAGGCCAGAAGGGGACCACATATTTACCCCAACAAGGCATCCCTCTTGCCATTAGATACTTAAAAAAATCAACTTTCACATAATTGATTCAAGCATCACTTTTAATTAGGACACTATGAAATTATGAATGTGACAATTTGTTTCTATTATCACACTAAGCTGTATAATACCTGGGTGCCAATCAGCGTCCTATCTTTGTGAGCTACAAGACCATTCTCAGAAAATACATAATCATGGTCATCAATAACTGCAAAGACAAGGACATAGTTAATAGACAGTCAAGAGGATAAAGCACGTGTCCACAATGTCCCTCGAGAACTAGAATTGAAGGATATCTAAGAGTTAATGTAAAAGGAACAGGGCACCGACATAGCATATTGCGCTATTAAGACAATCTAAATCGCCAATAACGGATGCAACAAAACAATTTCAAAATTCATCCAGGCACAAAAGTTAAATAAGTGTTTATATAATGAGTAAATATCCAAACTTGAGCTCCAACAACTGAAGCTCGCAATGATGTATCATATGCAAAGTTAAATGTTCAATACAGTTGGAGTTACTAGATATAGCTTCTACAAAATAACAGTATACACCTGTTTTGCCAAGCTGCTCTGTTATCTTAGAAAGGTCAGATCCTCCCACAATGCCCACTGTGACAATCTGCACTCCAACAAGGCTTTGATTATTAACAAGAAACAAGCAAACCTCACAAAGATGTACACTTTCAGGCTAACGGGTTACATACCTTCCTAAGTTCTCTCATAAACTCCAACATTTCTGGAGTAACAACCTGGGATTTGGGCGAAATACATTCAATTAGAAAATTTTCTCAAGCTGATCAAAAAGTGCAAAAGATTATGCCTTTCAAATCGATAACCAACATGATAAACCGGTACATAAAATTCCAACTGAAAATTAAAGAGTGATTTAAAAGGACAAAATAAAAACCAGAGATGTATACCTTTCTTGGAGCTGTGAGAGTCCCATCAACATCAAACAAGGCAAGCACACCAGGCCTCCTAACAGCCATTTACACTTAAATCTAATTTTCCTGCTGACAAATACACAATGCTCAATTAACAATTTAATCTCTTGAGTTTCTGTGAACATTAGTAAATCAGCAAGCTTGTAGAAAACAGCAAAATAGATATTACCCAGATGTTCAAAAACATTAAGATCCAAAACCCAATATTTTTTTCCGTAAAAGTACAAGAATTTGAGAAAGCAATTGATCCAATGGCCTAGATTGTAAACGAAAGTACCAATAAGTAATTAAAAACTGAAAAGCAGCCAAAATTATATGCACCCAAATGAGGGGAAAGAAGAAAGAAGAAAACTTTAAGATTCAGGAGTAATGGGTTCTGCAGATGATGAGCACTAATCAATGGAAAATGGCGATTGATAAGTAAATTAGCAAATGACAAAGTGAAAATACAAACCCGGTAATTGCGCTAATGAGAGAGAGAGAGAGAAAAGAGAGAGAGAGAGAGAGAGAGCAGGTTGCGATGAGAGGTTTGAAATGAAATGGAAGTTTGAGGAGCAGAGAATTGGGAAGCAGATTTCTTCCAGTGGCGGAACTCGAGCAGTTAGGGATTATAAAGCGACATGAAGGGGGTCCCAGAACAATATTACTATTTACTTTTTGAGTCTTGGCTTAACTTCGACAAAAACATTACTGAGATACAATAAGAAACTTCGTAGGAGCTGGATCTTTCATTTGCACGTAGAGATAACGTTGCCCTTAATTTTGTTTGTGTGGGGTAAAGGTTAAGTAATAGTAGAGAATGAGGTAGTGGATCTGTTTGTTTTTTTCTTTTCTTTTTTTTTGTTTTTTGTCAGACGATATATACATTAGATTAGATGTTAGATTAGGAAGTTAATTGGATTTGAACTCGTTCCGTGGTGCAAGAACAATACTATTTTCACAATTGTAACAAAGGGCCACTTGCAGGTTGTGGATCTGGTTTCAGATCTGTTCAAAAAGTGCACTAATTAATGCAAATTATTTGTAGAGTTGGGAATATGCTATAGTATCTATTTCTTAGCTCTCTTAGATAGGGATGTATTTAATTTATGATACGATTGCGTCTAATAGCCTACTGCTTGCATATAAGTGCTTTTGGATCATGAAAGCACTATGTAATTTGGCTATTGATTGAGAAGCAGCGACTACTGGTTGAAGCATCTCCTTAATCTAGACAAAAATGAGTTTAGCATTCACTTTCAGTTTGTTTTCATTTCGGTAGGAAACTTCTTTCTTTGGTTGTATTATCACCATCTCATAAACTTGTCAATTTTTCCCTTTTGTAGTTAGGAGGTAACTTCTCAACATGTCTCACTTCACTGTTTCTGGTTCATAGTAGTGTATCTTACAACATAACTGGTCTTTTACGGTGCACAAAGGGTGTAATAAACGGTTATTCACGGCTTGTGAGTCTTCAAACAATAAAAGCTCCTATCGTAAAAGACGTTTTCTCTTTTTGCACTGCTCGCTTTGTTTTTGTCTATTGATTATCTTTTATTTCCCTTACTCAATCATTAGTTGCTAACTTGTAATGCAAGTCGCTTAGGGTATGTTTGGTATCCTATTTGAAATTTTTTATCATTTCTCAAAATATTTATTAAGAACATTTCTTGAAAACAATTTTCTTTAAAATTCAAAAACTTGATTGGTTTGCGATTTAAAATTTTTAAATCTTATGACTTAAACCAGACAGAGATCTAAAAAGAAGGGGTCGCAGGAGAGAGAGAAAGAGTAGAGAGGAGGAAAGAAGGTAAGAGATGATTGAAGGAAAGAGAGAAGAGAGAGGATCAGACGATATAGAGAGGAAGAAGAGTGAGAGAAATAACCGAGAGAATCAAGATAGCGGATTGAAGGAGAAACGAAAAAGGTAAAAAAAAAAAAAAAGAGGTGAGAAAGAAGAAAGGAGAGAGAGATTTGGAGTAAGAGGCAAGAAGAGAGAGAAAAGAAATGAGTGAGTTTAAGTTTAAAAACTCTAAAAACTCATTTTTTATGTTTTTAGATAATAGACTATATTTTTGAGTTAGTCTTGAGTTCAGCTTTTGAAAATAATCCTATCAAAAAAGTTTTTAAGCCTAAAACTTGAAAATTGTTTTTGAGTTTAAAAAGTTGGATTCAAGTTGAGTACCAAATAGACCCTTAATTACGTGGGATGCAAGAAAGTTGATCACCTGAATCTCAAACTTGCAGCATTTACATTAACATACAGTGGACAAGTAATATATCTATAAGAAAGAACTTATTCTTTTGTAGAAGAGTCATCGCTCAAATTCGCTTGCAACACAAAGTCCCTCGAATTCATATTCAACATTGCAAACCCTTGTCCTTAATAAGGTGTCGCTTCTTTCCGGATGAAGTATTGGCCAGTAGGTCCGCCATTGGGGAGCAGCGCCAACCTGACAACGCTTTCCGCACCTTCGTCGATGGTTAAGATGCCCGAATTGCAGGTTATATCTGTTTTGACAAATCCAGGACAGACACAATTGATGCAGAAATTGGGCCACCTTTTGGCTAGAATTCTGGTGTAAGCGTTCAAGGCTGCTTTCGAGACTGAGTAGGCTGGAAGGATTGGAGGCCAGCTTTTGGCTTCTACCAGACCTTGTTTAAAATCTTCTAAAAACTCACTCAATACTCCATCTATTCTCTCTTCTGTGAGGCTCTCAGAATCACTCAGTACCCCATTAGCCCGTCCATCTGAAAAAAACTGAAACAATATGCAACACAGGACAGTTTTAATTTAATTTCCGAATAGAAACATTGCGGAGAATTGCTCATAATTAGACCTTTCACTACCAATTCTCAGAGAAAGTGAAAATCGCTTTGGAAACTAAGCAAGCATCAGTTGAAAAATGGCAAGAACATAGTTTTCAACCATACTGACAACCGTTGCAAACTTGATTTTCTTAGGAGAATGCCAAAAAAGAAATATAGTTTTCGAGTTGTTTATATATCATACCATTAATTGACCAACATAAGAAGAAACAATAACAAGCCTTGGAGAATCGGATAGCTGGAGGAGGGGCAGAAGTGCTTCAATCACTCTTTTCGTACCATGATAGTTTGTTTCTAGACACTTTTCTCCTAACTCGTAGTTTGGTGTTGCTATTTCACTCCAATCAATATCTTCAAGCTTCTGTATCCAGGTGAAGAAAGTTAACACTTATCCCGAATGATTGCAGGATCGTCTTCCCCAAATAATCCCGGATCCATAACTGGTTTGCTAAATATAGCATGATTTTCTTAAGAACACAATTTGACACGATAAGTTTGAGCAACTTCATATCAAGCACATATATCATCATAAGCGAACTTTTTAAAAGCAACTCAACGATACAATACCAAAACAAAATCGTCTTTATATAATTTGTGATGGAGAAAGTTTTGGTATATAGAATTAATCTTACCTTACCCGGAATAGCTCTAAAAGCTTCGCCGTTTAGTATGCTTCCGATAACTCCTGCATTGTTTACCTACAGATCACAAGTTCTAGCATTACCATCTTTGTCATGTCAACGAAGTTAACCAAAAAAAGTTTGAGCATTTGGGGTTTGATCATTACCAAAATATCAAGTTTTCCAAATTGAGTTTTGACAAAATCTGCAAGGGAAGCAATGCTAGCAGAATCCGTTATGTCGAGCTGGTGAAAAACCACGCGATCAGAGACGCCAAACTGTTTCAATTTTTCAACAGCTTCAAGACCTCTCTTCTCATCTCTGGCAGTTAAAACTACTAAGGTCCCATTTGAAGCCAACTGCCTAACAGTTGCAAATCCAATTCCTTTGTTTGCCCCTGTCACAACTGCATACCTGACCAAAAAAATGGGTGTTATTTATGTGGCTATGAGGGTCTAATGGTAAATTCCAGAGCAAGGAGATGAACCTCTTCGTCGCCTCTGCCATTGTCGATGGTTTTTCAAGCTTATTTTCAGCATTTTAAAGGGGTATTGTCACAAAAAGTCAATTTTGTGTGCGATAGCAGTTTTGTTGTTTTTACTTTTTTGTTTAGGAAGGGTTTTGCGCAGTCAAGAAGCGAGGCGGGGGCAAGAGAGACGGGTATTTTGATGACATGTTGGTGAGGAAAGAGGGGAAAAAAAAACAGTACTATTTTTTTGGAATTGCCCAGAGCCGGCAACCATAAAATAATGATATCGAGTTTATCGGAATTGGATCCTCTCCGAGGCAATGCCTCGGATCTTACTGACCGAACAATATGGGCAGTTGAATTTTGATTCAACGACTATAAATAGGGGGGTTCCTTTAAAAATTATAATAATTGTAGCTGTTTGATCAAAATCCAACAGTCCATGTTGTCCGGTCAGTAGGATCCCGAGGCATTGCCTCGAAGAGGATCCAATTCCTAGTTTATCAACCACGGTAGTCAGACCTTCCACTTATACTTACGAGTAGATATAAATACGATCAATTATTAGTTTGAACTTTAAAATTAAAAAATAAAACATATAATCCAAATAAAATCTCTCTTAAAACTAAAATATAGTCGGAGCAACGCTAAAATATTTAATAAATTATATGGATTTCGGGGATTATGCCACCTTAATCATAAAATACAAGTTGGATGAATAAAGTGGAAGAGTGCATCGGATGTGTTGTGCGACTGTCGTATGCCACTAAAGCTCAAGGGATATTTTTATAGGACGACAATAAGGCCGGCAATGCTTTATGACATAGAATGTTAGACGGTGAAGTATCAACACGTACATAAAATGAGTGTAACGGAGATAAGAACGCTTCGTTGGATGTGTGGGTACACGAGAAATGACAAGATTAGGAATGAGGATATATGAGGCAAATTAGGAGAAGCCTATATTGAAGATAAGATGAGAGAGAATCGGTTAAGGTGGTTTGGACATGTGAAACGAAGACTACAAACGCTTCGGTTAGAAGATGTGAGTACGAGACAGAGGCCTAGGGACAAACGGATAGAGGAAGACCTGGGAAGACTTGGAAAGAAACTCCAAGAAAAGATTTGAACTACTTAGATCTAACAGAAGTCATGACACAGAACAAAGTGCAATGGCGTTTTAAGATTCATATAGCCGACCCCACTTAGTGGGATAACGCTTTGTTGTTGTTGTAGTATTATTTTCTTGAGTAAGATATTTTGTATATGCTAGTAATACTGTCAGATAAAATAAGGTGAGCATCCATTGTCCTCTTGTTATTTTGCTTACCTTTCTGGATGCTAGCTCTGGTAGAGTTGCATAAGAGATGAAATGTTACACCTCACATCTTTCTGGACGCTTTTCTGATACCTCACCTCTATAGGCCCGTCGGCCGGCTGTTTGTTTTAGGGTGCCGGTCACGACTTGCTTCGATCGGCGCCCATTTTCATAAAAAAAATAGCATCACTCCTAATAGGATATGGCCTCCATATTTAACACTACCCTCATATATTTCAATCATCCAAATAGTCTTACCACATTGTGAATCCAAAAGCTTGTATATATAAACTATCAAGCCTTATTATTCATTAAACACAGAGAGGGCCTCTGTTAGCACCACATCTTAATACGGTGTCATTTCTTTCCTGATGAAGTAGAGGCCGGTAGGACCACCGCTGGGGAGTAGGGCTAACCGGGCAACACTTTCAGCACCTTCGTCAATGGTTAAGAAGCCGGCATTGAAGGTCAAATCTGTCTTGACAAATCCGGGGCAGACACAGTTGATGTAGATGTTTGGATACTTGGTGGCCAGAATTCTAGTGTACGCGTTCAAGGCTGCTTTCGAGACTGAATAGGCTGGAGAGAGAGGAGGCCAGCTTTTGGTTCCTAGCAAACCTTGTTTATGGTCTTCCAAAAACTCGCTCAAAACAGCATCTATTCTCACTTCTGTGAGGCTCTTAGCATCACTGAGTACCTCTTTAGCCCATCCGTTTGGAAAATTCTGAAGCAACACGAAAGATGGCAGAGTTTAAATTTGATTAAAAAAAACAGAAAAATTGTATCAGAATCTAACTAAATACATGGATTGCTCACAACTCAAACATTTTTCGGAAAACAATTCTACAACTAAAACATTTCCAGAGATCTAGTTTAGTCTGGGATTCAGTTAATGTTCTAATGCAATCCCAGAGCTCCATTATACTTAATTAAGCAAAGAAAACGACGACTAATTGTTTGTACATTTCAAGAAGTCCCATTTATGAAATAACTAGAGATAAACAGATTAAGGATAAAGAATTCTCCATATCTTTTGTAAGGCAGATAAGTTAACTAAATTATTTTGTTTAAATTACACTAACAACTAAGCGGAAATTTAATTCTGTTAGGAGAATGCAAAACAGAAGCATATTTCTGAAGTTGCTCATACCATTAGCTTAGCAGCACCAGACGAAACATTAACGATTCTAGGCGAATCAGATAGCTGGAGGAGGGGCAAAAGCGCTTCAGTCACGCTTTTGGGACCATAGTAGTTTGTTTTAAGGCATTCTTCTGCTAACTCATAGCTTGGTGTTATCAATATTTCACTCCAATTGATTTCACCAGGCTTCTGCATCCAAAATCATTGCTCTCGTCAATTAGTCTAAAATCACATTTCTATGATGTGATATATATACATATATATAACCTCACCTTACCAATTACAGCTGATCTAAAACTTTCAGGGTTTACTATGCTTCCAGTAATTCCTGCATTGTTTACCTACACAGTCGAAAAGTTCCAACTTTTTCATCTTTGTTATGCGTATTTCAACATAAAAAAGGATTATAAGTTTATAACATGTGTCATCAGTATCAAATCAGACATATTGCAATATTATCTCTACTGATCTGAGGAATAAAACCCAACTCAAAACAAAAAGATTTACCAAGATATCGAGTTTCCCGAATTGGGTTTTGACAAAATCTGCAAGGGAAACGATGCTAGCAGAATCTGTTACATCAAGCTGATGAAAAACCACCTGGTCGGAGACGCCAAGCTCTTTCAATTTTTCAACAGCTTCAAGACCCCTTTTTTCATCTCTAGCAGTTAACACCACCATGATCCCATTTGAAGCCAACTGCTTAACTGTGCCAAATCCAACCCCTTTGTTTGCCCCTGTCACAATTGCATACCTGATCAAAATACACAAGAACCCAACAAAAAAAAGGGAAAATAAGAAATGGGTTTCTTTTACGTGATCAAAAGATGCATAAGAACCAGAACACTACTACCTCTTTGTTGCTTCTGCCATTGTTGCTCTGAGCTTATTCTGCCGGGTGGGTACAATGAGGGGACTATAATGCAGGGGTTCCGGTTTCAAATCATCCGTTTCTAAAAGCTAAACTCATGGGATTCACGAGGGTGCGAAATGAGGACAAATATACATGGTTTCAGAATGGTGGCTGTATGTGGAATTATGTGGCGAAGAATGTGATGAAGTATGTGCTGGATTAGTGGCCAAGTGACCAAAAATCACTTTCGGCTAGTCAAAGAAAAGGAGGTGGATTGTCTACCCTCCCATTTCCATACTCTTCTCATCCCTTCCTGTTTTGTGTGGTCACGGTTAAACCACATCAACATTTTATATTGATTTTGTATAAAACTAATAAAACAAAAAATAATAGGAATATAAAATGTTGACGTGGCTTAACTATGACCATACAAACAGAAAGGGATGGAAATAGTATGGAAAGAGTATGAAAATGGGAGGGCAGACAATCCACCTCCTAAAGAAAAATAAACAAAGATAAAAAGGACATGATGATGTTTGTTGAAAAGAAAAAAGATACATCATTGTGTCTGTTAAGTCTAAAATAATCCCAAAAATTCTAGAGGCGTGGACTTTTATTCAAGAATGACAAGATTGTTCTCAATAAATGGGCAAGCTTCTCAGATGCTCCCACGCGCAGCTCATATCCCTGAATGACTCAGCAGCTAAACACAACTGCCCACACCACAGCTTACCTGCCCTTAGCAAGGAATTAAATATAAGGATTAATTACACAAATCTTATCTTTAATGCATTCCTAATTGAAGACTGACTCAAATCAAGTAATCCTAATTTATTTAAATTAGGATAATTACACCATTATCTCAAGATATTATTTCCTATTTAATATCTTGGAAATAATTAGAGAATATCTATCTATTAAACATTATATGGCCGGCCCTAGCCTTATAAATACCTCATATTCTACCAAATTTTGAGAGTTTTTTGCAACCCTAAAAAAGCCTTAAACACTTTACTCTCTCAGAGAAACTCACTTAGGCATCGGAAATCCGTTGACCTAACCCCCCCCCACCTTGTGGGCGTGTGAGACTTAGGTCTTTGATCAAAGGTGTTGACTGTTTTGCAGGTGCATTTTCGTCAAAACTGAAGACGGCGGAAATTTGCATCGACAGTGTCTCTTCCTTGTTTTTGGACGAAAAAAAGGGCTCTTGTCTAGAGTTTTTTTGCTTTGCCATCAACACCTGAAGAGTTTTGTTTTTCACTTCCACTTGTTGTCTTTGGAGCTTTTGATAGTTGTTGAGTAGCAGCAGAGAGCAAAGAGAGCAGAGAGTAGAGAGCAAATGAAGAAAAGGGAAACCAAGGGCTACTATTTTTAACTCTTCATTGTTTACAATCATTCATTCAAAGATATTGTGCTACATTTTGTGGCTTTTAGGAGAGAAGGATTTAGTATGTATTTTCTTTTTCTCAATTTATTCTTTGTTTGAGTGAGAGTTATTGTTTTTTTTTTTAGGTTATGAGGTTGCCAACATTTTGTAAACTCTCATTTGGTTGATAGTGGATTATTGGGTGAGCTTCTACTGCTCTGAGGACGTACTCCAGTTACACTGACTGTTGAGGAACCTCGTTAAAATCTTGGTATCTTTTATATCTTGTTCTTGCATTTCATTTGATATATTTCCTGTGGGTTAGCTTGAGTTGGTTCCAATTGGTTTGGTGCTATTCTAGCATAACAATTGGTATCAGAGCACTGGTTGCTCTTGGGTACCGTCTAGTTGCTAAGTATACCAGATGGGCAAGATGAGAATCCTTTTGGAAGTAGCTTTGGGGTTGCAAGAACTACGGTGCAAAATGCAATGTTCGAAGTGGAAAAGTTTGATGGCACAAACAACTTCAAGATGTGGCAATGTGAGATCAAGGATGTGTTGACTCAACAAGATCTACTTGCCGCTTTGGTAGATAAACCGGAAGCTATGTCGAAGCAGGAATGAGAGAAATTAAATTTGTGGACTTGCTCTGCAATTCAGTTGAGCCTTGCAAAAACTAAGAAGTTTTTTGTGATGCGGGAGACATTGGCAAATGTGTTGTGGCAAAAATTAGAAGTATATGACGAAGAGTGCGGAGAACCAGCTATACTTGAAGAAAAAGCTATATCGCTTCCAATACAAAGAAGGTACAAAAACTATTAGACACCTTGATGCTTTTAATAAGTTGATTGCCGATTTGATGAATTTAGATGAGGATATTAAGGATGAAGATAAGGCCTTAATATTTTTGAATTCCTTGCCAGACTTTTATGAGCATTTGGTTACCGCTATTATGCATGGTAAAGAAACTGTGAAATTTGACGATGTGTCAAATGCCTTGATGAACTATGAAATGAGGCATAGAGATAAGAATCATGATAGTACCTCTGAAACTTTATTTGTTAGAGGTAGATCATCGGAGAGGAGATCTTCCTTTATTAGAAAAAAAAATCACAGTCTCGACCTAGAGGAAATTCTAAAGGTAGAAAAAGCTTGGAAAGGGATGAATGTGTTTTTTGTCATAATAAGGGTCATTGGAAGAAAGATTGTCCTAAGTTGAAAACCAAAGACAAAATGAGTTTGGAAGCTAATGTTGCCACTTCCTCATCATTTGATTGTGCTACTAAGTGGGTGTTGGATACGGGTGTACTTATCATATGATTCCTCACAAGGATTGGTTTTCAAGTTTGAAAGAGTTTGATGGTGGTGTCGTTTTCATGGATGATGACAATCCTTGCACAACAAAAGGGATTGGAACAATTTGTTTGAAGTTGCATGATGACATGGTTAAAGAGTTGATAGGTGTTCGGTATGTACCGAATTTGAAGAAAAATCTTATTTCTTTGGGCACTTTGGAATCCAAGGGCTTTAGGTTTCATTCAGATGGGCATACATTGAAAGTTACTTATGGTGCACTTGTTGTGATGAAAGCTCATCGATGTGGTCATTTGTATTTATTGCAAGGAAGTATTGTGACAGGTGAAGCGTCTGTAGTCTCAGAAAATATGGGCACATCCGATTTAGATACTATTAAATTGTGGCATATGAGATTAGGCCATGCCAGTGAGAAAGCTCTACAAGGGCTTGTGAAACAAGGTCTTCGAAAAAGGTGCCACGACTTGTAAGCTTGATTTCTAAGAGCATTGTGTCTTAGGAAAGCAAACTAGAGCGAAGTTTGGTATTGCAATACATCAGACAAAAGGCATTCTTGATTATGTGCATTTGGATGTTTAAGGTTCTACAAAGACTCATTATTTGAGTGGTAGACATTGGTTTGTGACCTTTGTTGATGATTATTCAAGAATGTCTTGGGTCTACATTATGAAGCACAAGAGTGAGGTATTGAACATTTTCTTGGGTTGGAAGAAAATAGTTGAGAACCGGATTGGGAGGAAGATTAAAATTTTGCGATCGGATAATGGTGGAGAATACACATGATCCTTTCCTTAAAGTTAGCAAAGAGAAAAGGGATTGTGAGCCATTTCAGTGTCCGGGGAACTCCACAACAAAATGGAGTTGGAGAAAGATTGAATCGAATCTTGCTTGAGAAGGTTAGATGTATGTTGTCTCAGTCGGGTTTGAGTAAGTCGTTTTAGGCAAAGGCAATTACTTATGCATGTCACATCATCAACCGGTTACCCTCAGTTGTTGTTTAGGGTAAGACACCAATGGAGGTATGGATTGGAAAACCTTTCTTCTGATTATGACTATATCTATATTTTTGGTTCACCAGCTTATTTTCATGTAACTGAAAATAAACTTGATCCTAGAGCCAAAAAGGCTATCTTTCTTGGTTTTAGTAGTGGTGTCAAAGGTTACAGGTTATGGTGCCCAAAGATGACAAAACTTGTAATCAGTAGAGATGTGACATTTGATGAAGAAAGTATGTTCAGAGACTTTGAGAAGAATGTTAAAGATGTCCAACTGGTGGAGCTTGAGAAAGTTGCCTCTGGTACTTCAAATCCTATTTTCACTGATGTCGAAGCCACTACAAGTGAAGAAGTGGCAGACAAAGAGGATGTTGAAGAAGTTGATTCTATTCAAGATGAAGAGCAAGTTTCACCTCAAGAGTCTATTGCCAAGAACAGAGGAAAAAGACATATTGCCAAACCAGCTCGGTATAGTGACTATGTTGCTTTTGCTATTCCTATTATCACAGATGAGATTCCATCCAATTTTGAGGAAGCCATTGAGAGTGAGGAAAATGATAAGTGGTGCAATGCCATGGGTGATGAGATGAATTCTCTCTTGAAGAACAAGACTTGGGAGTTAGCTAAATTACCTAATTGTAAGAAAGCTATCGGTTGCAAATGGATGTATGCCAAGAAGGAAGGTGTTGATGAGAAAAGCAATGTGAGATTCAAAGCAAGATTAGTTTCTAAAGGGTATGCACAAAAGGAGGGCATTGACTACAATGAAATATGTTCTCCTGTTGTGAAGCATTCCTCAATTCATATTATGTTAGCTCTTGTTACACAATGTGATCTTGAGCTTGTGCAACTTGATGTGAAGACGGTTTTCCTACATGGTGATTTGAATGAAAAGATCTATATGTGTCAACCAGATGGGTATAAAGTGAAAGGGAAGGAGAATTTGTTTTCCAAGTTGAAGAAATCACTTTATGGCTTGAAGCAATCTTCAAGACAATGGTATTTGAGGTTTGATAAATTTATGAGAGACCAAAATTATTCTAGAAGTCAATATGATCATTGTGTGTACTTCAAGAAGTTGCAAGATTGGTCTTTCGTTTATTTGTTGATATATGTTGATGATATGTTGATCATCTCAAAGAATCTCGAAAAGATTGAGAAATTGAAGAAGCAAATGAACAATGAGTTTAAGATAAATGATCTTGGTGAAGCGACGAAGATCCTTGGCATGAAGATCACTAGAGATAGAGAGAAGGGTGTGATATACTTGAATCAAAGACAATACCTTGAGAAGTTGATTCAGAAGTTTGGAGTTCATGATTCAACCAAACCAGTTAGTACCCATTTGGCTCCTCATTTTAAATTGAGTTCTCTACAATGTCCTAAAACTGATCAAGAGAAGCTGCAAATGAAAAATATACCATATGCAAATTTGGTTGGTAGTTTGATGTACGCAATGGTATGCTCTAGACTGGATATTGCTCATGCAGTTGGTATGGTGAGTCAATATATGCATAATCCTGGTAAAGAGCATTGGCATGCAAC